GTATTTCGAAATGTTTAGTTGATTTTCATTTTTTTGTGAAAATCTCGATCATTTTTCAATGAACCATAACGCAAGAATTCGAAAAAAATTAAAGTAGTCAAATAGGATAGAAATACACATCATTCGACTTAGTTGTTGATCCTGATTTTGACTATGCTGTTTTTATTCCATAGAAACTGAGTTCTGCTAGAGAAAATCGAGAATTACGGGCAGAATTCTGACTTTTTCGCCTGTGATTTACGAAAAATAGAATATCTCAGCAAGGAAACATTATTTTCAAAAACTCTCTCATATCTTTAAAGCTTGGAAGTTGGGCCACCTTTCTATATATAATTCAAAAGGCTAGCCCTTCTCAGAAAAAACTAATAGGGATTTTGAAGAAAAAATCTCAGTTTTCGAGCCTCGCTAAAATTCAAACCAACGGTTGAGGGACCGGAAATTAGTTGGTCTAAAATTCGTTTTCAACGCGAAACTCAAATCTGAAAACTGCGAGTGTGTAGCACAAACCAAAAGAAAGTTATAGAGATTTTTCTGAAAACGAAAATTTTTGCGGTTTTTTTTGGTCTTTTCCACTATTTTTCATTTTTCTTCGAAAAAACGGCCTCTAAAAAAAAAGACTGAGATGTTATCGATTGTGTGCCGCAAAATGGGTTATTACTACTGAAGAAGTGTGGCAGCAGGGTTCTGATACGGAAGTGTCAGAAAATGAAGTAAAAATTTCATAGTATGAGTACTTCCACTCGGGAACTGGTATATATAATCATCCCTCTTCTAAATTCGATAGTCATATTAGCCTGATGATGATACTGTGAAATATCGAAAGATCGCTTTTTATGTGACATGATTTTACAAAAATGTTTTTCAATTATATTAAATATACTTAGCTTTAAAAAACAAGTGTTTTAGCAAATAAACGTCACCAAAGTTTATTTCTCGCTGAATAAAACTTAGGTTCACTGATGGATATGAAAATGTAACTATTGCCGGTTTACTGAGGATAACATGTTAGACCGTAGGATTCGAATTGATATCTTTTTAGGTATATATACCACATAAGTTTCATCCTGTAGTCACTAACAGTTTATGTTTATGTGCCACAAAAATAAAATAAAACTATTGCCAGCAAAAACAACATTATCAACAAATGATGACAAAACGAGCGAAACTGAAAGTGAAGATATGACGGATGATGTTGCTGTTTCGATGAGATCATTGTCAATAGACAGCATTGACCAAAATAGGCCCGTTAAAGGTCACATTTCGTTCTATGAACGTGAAAGCTAAAACGAGTTGGCGTTCCTTGAACGTGAACCTTATTTTATACCAAGGATGTTCGTCTAGTATGAAATGAAAAGTATTTTAAGGCTGACGTACTCATAGATGAATTTTATTCTCTGAAAGTAAACAGTTGGATTTATAGAGTAATATTACATTTAATCTACTTATAAATAACATGAGTAAACATCACAGGCACATCGCAAAGCATTGTACCCGGCTACATGAAATAGTAATATTGTTGCCAGACTTTGATCAATGTTCTAACGAGTACTGTACATCTTTTATATCGCGTTTAGCATTCTATACTCTTAAAATGAAATATATATAATTAATGGGGTTTCTGTTCTTTCTTTTTATTACGTACTAGCAGCCTTTCTATTACCAGTTGTGTTCAACGAAAAAAGCGCTGTTCATTAGAATATTCAATGTTTTTAAAAGACAAATTAACGTTTCTGTGTTTTTTGATGTCATGTTCCATAGCCTTATGGATGATAAAACGCTTAAAATTCTACAGTGAATGTTTCAGACATACATAAAAATAACACTTTCTTCAAAAAAAATGTTGTATCTTTTTTTACGCAGTTTGAAGGACGTATGTCGTGAAACAGAGAGAAAACGCTTTATGTGGATTGATAACGTTATTTCTCCCACAGAATTTTACGTTTACTTCAGACAATACGAACAGCGTTGGTATAAAATAAAGTTCACGTTCAAGGAACGCCAACGCGTTTTAGCTTTCACGTTCGAAGAAAACGCTAAAAAGGAATGATGAACATTTGTAGGCCCAGACCAAAATGATCCATTGTGGAATTTATCACTTGTTCTAAATCAATCAAGATGAGGAAAAAGAAAGCGAACAAGAAAGAACGAACGATGATCATAAAAATCTAGATGATGATGATGAAATTAGTGATAATTGAAGTGAAAATGGAATTATTGTTATTAGTTATACCATCGATGATAATAAGCGATCATTAATTTCGATATCCAATGTAAAGGGAAAATGTCATTCTTTGGTTAAATTAATTAAGAAGTCATCGACATTTATGTTATACACAACTAAATTAAAACATTAATTCACAGTTGACCGATTATTGCAATTGGATTGTAAGGGCGATAGAATCTATTTTTTGTTATTGTGAAATGCTTTTTCTTCTTCAAAACAAAAAGAAAAGAAAATTAACTAACAATCATTTGTTATATTTGAATGAAACAATAAACGTATTGCTATGATGAATATAATTGATTGTTTTCTGTCAATATACATATTCGAATAACAGGGATTCGATTTACCTATTATATCTGTAATATGGTATATACATTTTTTTCAAAAAAAAAAGAACAAGAAAGAAAAAAAAGCAAATTTTAGATAATTATTATATACCTATATGTTTTGATATGAATTGAATAATAGGAAAAAAAAGGATAGAAACAGCGTTTGATTGAGGCGTATGTACAAGGCATCAAAATAAGCAAAGAAATAAAATTCCCCTTTTCTCCTTTTCGTTTTATTTTTCTGTACACCGGTTCTCTGTTCTCTCTAAAATGATTATTATGAGCTGAATTGTGCCACCACATAAAGATACACATAGATAGATTAAAATAGAAATGCAGAGAGCAGCTCGAAGCGCAACAGCCAATTCTTCAGACAACAACGGAACACTTGTAAGTTTATCTGTACGTATACATTTCTATATCGGGTTTTTTTTTCTTCTTCTTTGAATGAACAAAAAGTTTTTTCATTTCAAAGTTTAACAAAATACACACACATTCATTGTTGATTTTGGTAACTCCATATACAATAGACATTTTTTTTCTTTATCTCTTATACAATGATTTAATAAAGGACTTTTGTAATAAATAAATGTACACTTTTTCACTCATGATTACACACATTGGAGATTTTGTTGAAATTATTTTATCTATACCATTCAATCTTCTGGAAATACATCAGCGACTAATAATGAACAGTTATTATAAATAAAAAGAATATAGATTCTCAAACTTGAGCATAGAGCAAGTCTATTTGAGTTGTTCCTAGAGATAACAAGTTTGTTTATTCAAGAAGTAAAAATCAAGAGGAAAAGTTTTATATTTTATTTTCTCTTTGTATTTACATTAGATTGTAGACGATGGTCGATCAAACATTGCCCAATATTGCTTATCCCATTAGGGTTATAATACCAATTGTCTATTTTATTATCACTATTATCGCATTAATTGGTAATTTAATCAATTTTTATTCACTATGTGTTAGTAAAAAACGATATGTTCGAAAAAGTCTTCATTTGTTAGTATGGAATGTAGCATTTTCCGACACACTATGGGTATTGATATTTTTTATTGTTAAAATGGTATCATATGCGGATTTGGGACAACATTTTTATATTGGATGGTTAAATAATCAATGGTGTAAAGCCGAATATTATATTTTGCGTTCAATGGATTTTCTTTTAGCTTATACAATTGTGTTTATGTGTATTGATCGATGTGTTCGACATAAAACATGTTGGTATGGTATACGTCGATTTAAAACTGGTCTATGTATTATTTTTGCATTATGGTTATCCATTTGTTATGCTCTAATACCAATATTATTTTTTAATCAACAATTAGTATCATTAAACTATGGCTCATATGAATGTCAAACAAATTCAGAACTTATTAATCAATTAAAATGGCTCGATTTGCGATCGATACAGACGCCAATACAAACTATTCATATTCTGGATTTTATGTTTGGCAATGGTTTACCAGTATTTTTAATGATCGTGTTTCTGATTTTGAGAGTAATTTGTCATCGACGACGACCAAATATAACTATGGATACAGACCCTTATAAACAATTAGATTTAGGTTTATACGATGATGAACATCCAAATTTGTCGAAAATGGTCATTTTCTATGTTCTAATCTATATTCTTTGTCAATTACCCTATTACATCTATCGTCTCGTTCGTATTTATCAACCGGATATCGATAAAAACTTGAATACAATGAACATCTTGTATGCGATCGATATTCCACTCATCATATTGAGACTCATAAATCGTGCCATCAATCCATGGTTAGCTTTTTTTTTCATGAGACAATTACGTGATTCATCTCGAGATTTTTGTTCATTTTGGTGTTGCGGTTGTATACCAGGGTGTCCCAATCGATGGAATTGTTTAAAAGATTGTACATCATGTTTAAAAGATGAATGGTACGATTTAACAGCCAATAATCATATGGTTAGAGAAATAAGATCGACAGGTAATACTATGAAAAAAGAATATTTGGATGAAAATGGAAAACGTGTAAGACAGACATACGAAGAATATGTCAGATATTATCAACGACCCAAAACACATTTTTCCGATGCAAATCCAGCTCTATTACTCGGTGGGAAATCGATACCAGAAAATTATGGTTATACAAATCAAGCCTATTCAACAACAAAAACAAACGCACCACATGCAAGTGAACCGAGAACTGAACTCTGAAAGAAACATAGCCATAGAGAATGCAATCTCACAGAAATTTTATTAAGAAATATAGTATTTTACAGATCCGCGCGTACTTTTGGAGTAATTTGTTTTTTGTGATGATAGATTAGAGTAGATTAATGATACAAATCGACCTTCGATTCCACTTTCGTAGAAAGCGCTCATATTTAAAGACATCAAAGGGAAATGTCGAAATGTTTAGTTGTATTTCTTAAAAAAGATTTATATTGATTTATGCTCTTGTCCATTTTCCTTTCCTGATCCAGCGTCAGTTAGAAATATATGCTTATTGGCTTGAGTTTCAACACCATAATTAGGCATGCACCGAGATGGGAATCCTGAACTCGGGAATCCCGGAAGTCGTGAGTCTCGAAAGTTGGAAATCCCGTTCATCGAATTGTAGAACAGCGCACTGTTACTAAACGGTTTTGACGTAGAGAGAAAAGATTCCTTATCTTAAATTTTAAATATTCGGTCGCTTGCCGCGAGAATTTTTCCTTTTTAAAGACATTAGGTGTTGCTAGAGATTAGACACGTTGTAGAACCTCAAAAAATGTAGTCTTAACTTCTTTTTCCTTAAAACATAAAGAAAGGCCCACTTTTTTATGAAACGTAATCATTCCCGAAACGGGAATTTCGGGATGTTCCTGTCCCGATGCATGCCTAACCATAATCTACATACATGTCTGAACTAAAATCGAATGTTGCTCACACACAAATGTGTTCTATCTAGGCTTGCCATTAGAGAAAAAGTTGTATAGAGATATAGTTGGGTCAATCGCACATATATTCTTATGGTGTCTCAATATTATAGCATTAAAGTTATTAATAACGCAGTTTAATACTAAATAATCTGTTAAATATTCACTATAATTGTTTATTGTGGAAGAAAATACAAACAGGATAAAGAGAATACGTGGAACATCAGGCAATAGCTAAGAGCAAAACTTGATGAGAAAAAATCGACAAAAAAGTGAGTAACTATTACGTCTTAACACTTTTATTATATACGGACGTTTATAACGCCGTTTATGTAGTTTTTCAACCGTTGACAGATTATTTAGTACGGATTAGATACATTTTTAAGTCCATAATTGTTCTTAGTTGATCGTAGGTTCTCCCATAGTTGGTCCTCCAGCTTTTATTATGAAGTAATAACTTAATATTTCGAACCGGAATACGGTGATGTGGTGTCAAATTATGACACTAGTCAGTGGAATACAGTTTCTACAAGAAATTTTTATATAGGTGCACTTGCAATAAAAAAAAAACTTTTATTGCAAAATTTAATAATAAAGTTTTTGCAAAGAAATATTATAACACCAGAAAAAAGAGATAAATAGAAACACTATTTTCTTTTGATGTATAAACTGAAAAACAACAAATCATTCATTATTTACATTTGAAAAACAAAAATTAATTTTTTGTGAACAGCAAACAACAAAATGCATCTATTTAATGTAGTTATCAAACATACAATGTTTTCAAAATATCAATAATAACAAAAAATAGTAATAAGAGAAGAATTTACTGGATCAATTCGAGGGAAGAAGTGGCAACTGTTCAAACTAAAATAGAAATTCGTGTGGGATGTAAGAGAGAGAGAAAGAGAGAGAGAGAGAGAGAGAGAGAGAGAGAGAGAATCACGAAGTTGTTTTTAATCTTGGTTTTGCTGTTAAACCATCAAATCGTTTATAGGTATAATTAATAAATAGCCAATCGTGAACTTGAACTTCACTATCTTTGGATGGAGATGCTAGAACAACGACAATAAATTTAATGAGTTCATTTGTTCAATTTAACGAGTTACTCATTCGAAGATACATAAAGTATGCTTTATAGTACTTAAGAAGTTTTAAGGAGGAGTTTCTTTTTAGTTTGTTGAATCAAATATATGTAGAATAGTACTACAATGTACTATTGTATTCTTCATCTCTGAAGTGACATTATCAGTATTTATCAAATATTTTATACAATTTAATTATGTTATACTGCATTAAATTTAGGCAAAGTAAAAATAAATTATTCATTTGTGTAGATAATAAGTAAGTAATACATACGTAATTTAAGATCAACATCAGGAAAGTCATCAAAATTTGATGTATCATCGATACTTTTCACTTCCGGTTGATAGGCAGCTGGACGATCACGTACATGTTCCCAATCGACACCAACAAAAAATTGATGTTGACGAATATCATCTAATGAACTTAATCGACGTTCAGAATCAGTACAAAATCTATCGAAGACAAATAATTAAATAGATACAGAATGTACACTATCTCTTATTTACTTTAAAATTAAATCTTTTGCTATATTTGATATTGGTTGTTCAGGAGGAAATACAAGAGTCTCACGATAATTCATTACTTTACGAAATGTTTCTTGGGGATTTTCAGCACAAAAAGGTGGATAACCAATCATCATTTCATACATTATAACTCCTAGAGACCCTAAAGCATTCCAAAAACACATACATTATTGTGAAATCAGATGATTAGATTGGTAAAATGATATAAAGTCAAATATCTGTGCCATAAATGAATTACTTACACCAATCTGCACCGTTGTTGTATCCACATTGCTTAAACACTTCTGGAGCTATGTAATCTGGCGTTCCTACTGTTGAATAAGCTAATGCACGACGATTTTTTTTCCATGTTTCTGCTCGTCGTTTTGAATCAAGAGGATTTTTGAAATCTTGTGGTCTCATATTTGGTATGTCACGATAAAATTCTGTACGATGTGCTTTTTTCAAACCTGTACAAAGTCCAAAATCACTTAATTTAATATGACCCTGAAAAACAAATCGAACAAAAAACGATAAATGTAAAAAATAGTGAAATATGTTTTTTGTACATACTTTTGCATCAAGTAATAAATTATCTGGTTTAATATCTCGATGTATAAAACCGAGTCGATGTATGGATTCAATAGCTAATGCTGTTTCAGCTACATAAAACTGTGTCATATCTTCACTAAAAATTTCCTTTTCTATCAATAATGTCATTAGATCACCACCCGGTAAAAATTCCATAATTAAATATAAATTTCTTGAATCTTGAAATGAATAATACATTTTCACCACCCATGTATGATCAGCTTCCACTAAAACATCACGTTCAGCGCGAACATGAGCTACCTTTAAAGAAAAAAAAATAGATAAACAAATATATAGAATATAATAATGACTATACGATTTTATCTGATTACTTGTTCTCGTTGTAACATATCAGCTTTTCGTAATATTTTCATTGCATATATATGACCAGTATCACGTTTTTGAACAAGACGTACCTGACAGATTATAAACATCAAACATTTTCTTCTTCTATAGATACGAATAAACTGATAAAAATCACACTTACTTCTCCGAATGCTCCTCGTCCAATCACCTTCAATGGTTCAAAGTCATCAGCACCCATTTTAACACGTTTCAAACGCAAATATTCAGTTTCTTTAGCGGCATGTAAATGACGTTTTTCATGTTTCTAAATCAAGTTTAAAAAACAAATGGAATTAGTAATACAATTATAAAATATGAATATTGACTTACTTCTTGATCAGATAAACCTTCAGCCTGCATTGTTTCTTCTAATCGACGATATCTGTAACACAAAAAACCAAAAAAATTAGACATAACACAAATAATAATGATGTTTTTAAACAATGCTTACCGTTCTTCCCTTTCCTCATATTGATTAATTAAATTTGTATAAAAATTTTCTATTGTCATTTTGGCTTTATTCACTTTTTCCAATGTAACTGGATTAAAATTTGATTGATCATTTCGATAAGACGGCATGGTTGCCATCTAGAATAAGAAAATGTATATCAATTATTCTGTTCTATAATTTCTAGGGAGTCGAATGTTATTTCTATAAAAAAACAAAATCATAAAAGTAGAAAAAAATATGAATTTTATTAAAAATAATATTAGCAATAGAAGAAGGTAAAACGGAATCTATTATTTGGTTGTATATAGATTGCATTGTACAAATTCAGAAGATGATGAAATTATACCACGGTATAAATATATAAAAAAATAGAAGAGAACTTCTAATTAATAACAAAAGAACATTGATGCTTTTGGATTTTTTAACATTTTTTTTATAAAACATATATTGAAAAGAAAATTCTTTTCAATTCTTTTAAATAACAAAGAAGAAATGAAAGGTGTTAGAAACAAGATATCATGGATATATTTACAAAAAAATGTCTGTTTATTCATCCAAACACAAATATTGGACGGTATATCGTACCGGAAAATATTATATTTACAATACATAAAAATCGATGGCCGTGATTGTTACTAATAGAAAAGTACCGTCTTTAGTTATCTAATTCACCATAATGATTACTTTAACAATAGAAAAGTACCGTGCACTAAGTCACGAAAAGAAAAGTGAACAAATAACTATCTTAGTAATATTCTTAAAAAAGTTAGCATTGTTTCGTGTGCATCGAAAAGAAATAAGTAAAAAAGAAATATAGAAAAGTAAAAAAATATAAAAGAAGACTCGAATATAGCAGCATTTTTTGTAATGATTAATTTTGTGCATGATATTGAGGCCCAGCTGATGCTATATAATCATCAAAAAATGTGTGTAAATGCTCAAAAGTTGGTCGATTAACAGGATTTATATCCCAACAACAAAGCATATATTCGTAGATTTGTACCGGACAGGATTCGATACGAGGCATTCGATAACCACGTTGAATTTGGTCTAATGCCTCACGATTTCCCATTGCTAGAAGAAATACAAATGAAGAAAACAGACGTAACAGAAACTATTCAACTGACATTGATATTCAGAAAAGAGAGATTTAATCTTACATGGATATGGTACTTGACCATGTGATACTAATTCGTATAATAAAATTCCGAAACTCCAAACATCGCTTTTTATGCTAAATTTTCCCAAAATAGCTGCTTCAGGCTAAAATATTTCAAAAATATGTTATGAATTAGTAAGAGATTAGCACATAAAAAAAGCAGTTTATATCTTCGCTCACAATAACATATACTTACTGCTGTCCATTTGATAGGAAATTTCGTTCCAGCTTTAGCCTCATATGGACCTTCACTAATGACTCTGGCTAATCCAAAATCTGCGATTTTACAAACATTATTATCACCAACAAGCACATTCCTTGCTGCTAAGTCACGATGAATCTACAAAAAATGAGATGAACTTAAAAAAACTGAATGCTATACGTTACTTACATAATGTTCATGTTCTAAATAAGCCATGCCAGAGGAAATCTGAACAAAATTAAAAAGAACATTTAGTGTTATGCTTTTTGCTGGGTTTCTTCTTCTAACCTGTGCGGCCATATCAATTAATGTCGGTAACTTTAAATACTGTCCTAAACAATAAAAAGAATGCCAATAATATTAACCTTCAGAAATTGTGTATAACATTTGCCATACGCTTTCTTAAATAATCAAGTAAACTTCCATTTGACATCAGTTCTGTGACAATATAAATCGGTTGATCAGGCGGCTCGGTACAAACAGCATACAATTGAACTAGTTTCTCATGACGTAATTTTTTCATTATATTTGCTTCATCAACAAATGATTGCTTAGACATGGTTCCAACTCTCATTGTTTTGATAGCAACGTCGATTGTATAATTCCATTTTCCTTTAAAAAATAAAGTCAACGCATGCCAGTATATGAAAAAAAGAAAATGTATTAAAATCACAAACCTGCCCACACTTGTCCAAACATTCCTTGTCCTAGTTTTTTAACAAAATGCAAACTATTTCGTGGTACCTCCCAAACATCTTTTGATATTGTTGCTGTTGTTGGTTTAGGTTGAGCACAATGAACTGCTAATTTGCAACAAAGTCCATCGTCCTTTTCTATGATGGAAAAGCTTGTTAGTGTTGACCCTCTATGTCTAAAAGTTAAAATCCGACGTATACGACTACGGTAATAGCCTCCATTATACGTATTATATTTGGTAAATAACACGCTAATAATCGCCTATTGCACATAATAGTTGTGTTTTTGGAAACCTACGTTTCGTTCTTTAGAGAATTACTCAATCCATTATTCAGCAGGTATCATCTTACAATTAGCTCCTCTACTGAAAATTCAAATGTTCGTCCGCACAAATAACAGAAGATTTTAACTTGACTTTGAAATACCTGCCTTACAGCATTTTTCTGTTTCACACGCTTTTCTTTCAATATAAAATATTTGTCAAATTTTCACAAACAAAAAAATGATTGATTTTTAGAGTAAAAACACAATGGTACAGACATAATAAAGAAATTTTACCTATGTAATGTTTAATTAATTCTTCAACGGATTGAAATACCCTTTTGTCTGCGATGAAATAACCTTTATCTGATTTACAAATATTATAATGTTTAACATGTACACCACGCTCCTTGTTAATATCAATCACAGATAAGGAGTAGGGACCTAATGGAATATAAAGAAGATTATCTGTTTAATTCTTCATGTCTTGAAAAAAAGCTTTTAAATTCAATTTTTGCTTTTAGTGCAATTTTATCCAAGGTTGTCCATATTCTCATTACCTGTTGCAGTTTCTGAATTTCGAACAAGAAAGCATCCCCGTGGATTTGCAGGATTCAATAATAACCGTTCAGCTTCTTTTCGTGACACATGATTATGAAACCATCTACAACAACAGAAGAATATTGAGTTTTTAGCTTCAAATAATTAAAAACAAAAAAAACTTACACATTTGCAGCTAAACTCCCGTATTTTGCAACATAAACAACTGGAATGTAGCCTTGTAAACCGGTTATCTGATGCTCTGCCTGCCACCAATCTTGTTCACTACAAAAGACAAAAAGTACTGGTTTAATATTGTACAATTCTCTGATGTGATTTCTAATCAACAGCATCTATCGTGGTAAAAAAATATTTCAAAAGCGAGAAAGAGAATCCCCACCTATCATCGAGAACGATAAGTACATCCCCAGCATGAAATGTTAAGTCTTTGTCAGTTCGTGCCTCGTAATCACAAATAGCCACGTATAGTTTATCATTGATTGGAACTATGAAAGATAAAATAAAGTTAGCTAAAATTAATATAATAAATCGTCATTCTCTATAATCAGATGAAACAATAAGCAAAAGGAAATCATACATTCGTGCATGTAGTCGGCAACATTAGCATTTAAAGAAATATGGTTTTGAAAATAGCTTTTTCTAACAACACATACTATTAAAGAGCTAAACTAAGATTTGATTTATAAAATTATTGTTGCTATTCAACTTCATTGAAATGTGTAATAAGCAATCACAACATATCACCAGTATCTTTCAGACTGCGCTGATACTTTGACTGAGACCGAAGCTGAGCTTTCAAAAAATCTTACCGTTAAAATATTAAAATCAGGTTTATCCTGCAGCGAGAAAAGAATAAGAAACATTCAAATTTATTTGAGAAAATCAAAAGATGTCTCAATTATTTTGACAAATGAATAATTTATAATTATGCACAACTCAAATGCTATACCTTTATTACTGGCATTTAACTTCTGATGTCTGTTTTTTCTCGCTAATGATTTCACACCTAAAAAAACAACAAAAGAATTTGTTCTATTGTAATGCTAAAAAAACTATACTACCTTGTTGTGTTAGAGAATTAGTTCGATTAATCGCACTTATTGTCAACACATCTGGTTTATATTGACGTGAACGAACATTTATTTTACTAAACCAACAGCCGCCCATGGGTACATCTGAAAAATTGCAGAGAGTGAGCACTGTGACGTAACGATATATAATAGAAACCATACAACCATATATGTCAATTATTACATTAGTCTATCATACGGCTATAAATCAGTTACATTACCAGAGTTTCGGCAAGGAATATGTTCCTAGCAAAGAGTATCGTTCGTCAGAGATCCCAATTTTTTGGAGAACTTCGAAGATAATTCTTGCTTTTACAGACATATAGAAGTTCACATTCATTTCTCATTCTCCTATAGTGTGTTATTAATTTATCTTCAAAAAATAACTTGTTTTTATAAGACTGCTGTTCTATATATTGAACAGACAAAAATATTCTAATAGCAAGATCATCCAATAGTTAGTACTGTAAGACTGTTTTATTCACAAAAAGTGAGAGTGTATTGTATTATATATATCGTTTGTCTTTGAAAAGTACTTAGGTCACTTGTTCAATATTGAACCACCCTTCGAGTAAATGATTAATGAAATCTTCAGTACTGATTCGAAGGCACTTTTAAAATGTTACTCTTTTCAAGGTATCACCAAGAGACCGTTTAGACATACTACTCAAAATCAAGATGTTTTTCCTCAAAGTGGATAACTCAAAATTAGATTTGAAAACAATTAAACTGTGAGTAAACAAATTGCATGTTGGTATTCTCACTCCTATCTACCATATGAAGAGTAGCGTATCATATTTTTCAATCTAGGACTGGAATAACTGATAATATACGCGTTCATTCAATTTTGACTACGAACAGCAAATCTCTTTCATACGTTGAAACCAATTAATAAACTTAATTATATTTGTTTTAAAAAGCAGACTTTTGGAGAAAAAAAACTGTACGCGTGCCTGAACAGAACAACAATGATAGAAACAAAATTCAAATTTTAATCGAAACAACTGACTTTTCTGCTTTCATAGTTAAAAAAACAGAAAAAATGGAAATAGACAGTACTTTTATTCTTTGTTACAATATTGATCATTCAGAAAAAAAGTATAGCAATTATTTAATCCAAACCGTATGTTTGTGTCATTTTTATTTTTGTAAAATAAACCAATTATTGCCTGACTTTAAACCTCCTACAGCTCTAACGCCACTGTCAATGCTTCTGCTAATTTTTCGAACATCAGTTGATCTTTCTTAAGATTAATAAAAACTTCCTCTAGGGAAACTGAAACTGATGAGTTGAGTGGAAATATATGAATGCGTGCTGCGCCGAGAAGAATATATGCTGATAATAACTGGGTGCGCACCCTCCCACTTCTTTTTTAGTAGATTTGCTATAGAGCTTTTATTGATAAGATCTCAACGTTACAATGTGCTCGTTTGAAAAACCGACTACCAGAAAAAAGATCATATGACGTTGATCTTCACTATTGCATTCCCCCCACTTTTTTTCTTTCGCCACATCCCTGCTGCCCACCGTTACATGACATAACAGTCGAAAAAATTTCAAGACTCTTCTCGTGTAAAGCATAAAAAAATACATAGAATCCCATATTTTTTGTTCACTAAAAAAGTCATATTCTACATGCCCTTTCAGGGATGTCAAGTTTCGACCCTCCCTCTAATAAAGCAACTTTGACCTTGATTTTCTATGCCTCTAAAGAGCTTACATCATCGTTGGATATACTGCACGAAAGAGCAACTCGAGTAGTACATATACTAATATCAGAAACGTGTCCTAGTACTTTTACAATGGCAGGCCAGCTATCACAAAATGGTCGAAAACGAAAAAACGGCACTCAGATCAGCTCTTTGGCTTCATATTTATATATAGTGCAAGAACTTTTTGTTCTTTTTTACCTTCAGAAGAGCTGAAATATCGAGTGCTATTTTTTCATTATCGGTCATTTTGTGGCAGCTGACCTACCATTATAAAAGTACTAGGACATGTTTCTGATATTAGTATATGTACTACTCGAGTTGCTCTTTCGTGCAGTATATCCAACGATGATGTAAGCTCTTTAGAGGCATAGAAAACCAAGATCAAAGTTGCTTTATTAGAGGGAGGGTCGAAACTTGACATCCCTGAAAGGGCATGTAGAATATGACTTTTTTAGTGAACAAAAAATATGGGATTCTATGTATTTTTTTATGCTTTACACGAGAAGAGCCTTGAAATTTTTTCGGCTGTTATGTCGTGTATAAACTGGGCGGACCAAAATGGAAGTACCCAATTCCTGGAGGAGATCAAAGGCTAAACGACATCGGGAAGTTTTTCAGGGGTATCTCGACCCAAAATTTGTTTTGCACACGATAATCGACTATGGAGAGTCCAAATCTGCAGTTAGTTTCGAACAAGCTTTAAAATTTCTCGATTAGGTTAGTATGCAAACGAATAACAAAATGGGGGAATAATTATATTTTCCTAAATATTACTTATTCCGGCATTCGACAATAAAAACTAACCATCATAACACTATTGAAAAGCATTAAAGGATAATTTTTTTCCTTGAAACAAGAGATTTTTGATTTAGTATGTGTCAAAAAAATTCAAAAGATTCTATTCTTTTGGATTTCATTTTTGGCTCCCATTGAGCCTGTAAATCTCAAAAAAGCATCGGACATAGGCTATCATCCCTTCTTAACTGCGCGGCAATGTTTATTTTCTCCACCGAGTTGACCGGACTTCAGAAGAGAAGTTTTTCAGAAAACCAGGTTTTTGCCTAGTGACCATGAAAGAACGAAATTCGTCTAGCTTAGGTCATAAAACTTTCGAATTCTCAGTTTCGCTAAATAATGAATCCATTGAATCAGATATTTGGGGTACTTTACTTATGGCGAAGTGTGAAGATTAAGTCTCTATGCCAGATGTTATCAAAGGTTTTTTATAAAGTACCGATACATCGAAAGTATGAGTGTAGCTGACGTGATTTAGAACCAATTGTACAATCTTGTAAATATTGAACAAACCGACATGCTATTGAGTGAGAGAGTTAGAATTTTGATTATGTATCAGATAAAATATACATCGATTCTTATATAAGAATCATCCATGAATCTTGTAAAAACCCTGTAGATATCCATTTAGACACAGATAAGATCCTTATACGACTCTTATCAAATCTTTTTACAAGGTTCACTAAGAAAGGTTAAGAATTTCTTAAAGAGTCGTATAAGATTCTTCTAAGAAGTTCATGAGAATCATCTTACGTTATCCTCATTAAATTCTTAGCCTGAAAATATTTTTTTGTGAATTGACGACTAATGCAAATGCTTAACCAATATCCGATCTTTAACTATTCATTTTGCGAAATGTTTTGTACCAAGATTAGGACCAACTTCGAAACCAAGAATTCGAATTGATGACATTTTTGTTACGCTATAAAAAACAAATATTGTTCTCTTTTCCACGTGGTGACACTTTATTTATAAGCCTTTGGTGTTTTTATGCTTTCCTTTGCTACGAGATGTTTTCTTGGGCATAAAAAAAACTTTCAAATTCAAGTTCTTTAGAAAATATAAAGCTGCAGAATTTAATAGGGTTCGTGTAAGAATTTGACAAGAATTATGTAAGGATTTTGTGATCAATCTTATAAGAATCTTATACGACTCTAAAGACATTCTTAAACTTTCTTGGCAAATCTTGTATAAAGGTTTGATAAGAGTCGCATAAAGTTCTTATCCGGATTTATGAAATTTTTTTGTCAAACAATCCATCCACTTTATCTAGTAGACTAGAAGGCAGTTTTTGTACACCTTACTGAGTTATGATAATTAGCAAATAAGGAAAGCAGAGTTTTCATTGGACCAAGAATAATATTTTTGCTGTTTTCCAATGCTTCGTATATATCTTTAAGAATAATAGCTTATCTGAAATCAAATGTACTGGTTTATTCATTTCACTACTACAATGAAATTGAACAATTCGTTATATCTAGTCATTTGATTCTTATATCTGCATTGTATAATATTAAAACAATAACCAGTAAAAAATATGCACTCGCTAAAAAAAAAAAACACGAAAAAAAGAAAAACTGTTTTGTATTTTGTACAATATGTCTAATCTAAACAAAGTTCATTTAACAGAAAAAAATTTATCACTGTTTTGAGATATACAAAAAAAAATGTTGACTGATCAGACTTCGAGAGTAAAAAGATGACTATATAGACGAATATGGCAAGACTATTTCACATAATACATCCGTCAATTTGTCGTCGAAAATAGATACAAATATCGGAAATTTGAGGACGTTTATCTTGTTCATAATTCCAACATTCACAAAGTAAATCATAAATTTCTTTCGGACAATCAGGTGGTAATGGTAAATTTAATGATTTTAGTTCGTTTGTAGATTGTTTATTTATTTGACATAATTTTAAATAGAGTTCGTAGTTTGATAATGAAGAATGAGGCAATAAATGACAACGATTCCAAATTTCCCACAAACATACACCAAAACTGTACACATCCGATTTCAAGGATGAACATACCTAAAATAGACATAATAAAACATAGTCTTTTTTCCTCATCCAACCACATCCTATCAGTACAATTGTAGATTTTAACAACTGCCTTAGTTTCTTATTACCCATAATGATAAAGAATTATGTGAACTATTAAAACGTTGATAAATTTCTACTTGTGAACGTACAACAAATGGTCACTTCTCTACACAAAAATTGTCTCTCTCTTCTGAATTTTAACAGCTAATGATCCGTGTTAAAGACAAAAATCATACCATAGCATCGGATGGCATCCATCTTAACGGTATTTTCTTATTTTTATATTGCCAATATTCATTTGAATATTTTTCTAATACCATTGCATGATCAGATAATTTAATTGTATAATCTTGATAAAACAGACAATTTCTTGTTGCTATATCACCGTGAACAATGCCACAATGATACAAATAGTCTAAGCCAGATGATAATTGATAGGCAAAACAATAATTCATTCTAAAAAATACAATTTTAATTAACTTCATCGAATACTAATATACTTTATCTGTTACGTTTGCATAGATTGATCATTGGTTGCTAATGTTGTTGTTAGAGTTCTATAATAATCTTGAAGTGTTCCGAAGTCTCCATGTTCTTGAATTAAATACATGTGTTCATTTTGTACACCACATAAACGAATAATATTTGGATGTGACAATGTCGATAAAATATTAAATTCATTAATAAATGAATGTCTAAATAGTGATATAACGTGAAAAATTTGTTCAATAATTAAATCATTTAAATGTTTTAATGTTATTTTATGTTACCTGCATGCTATTGCACTCGTTGATTTAACAATTTTAATTAATACACTTTTATTAATATTATTTGTACATTCATCATCATATTTTCCGATATAAATCTAGAATACAAATAAAGAATTTTATCTTAAATTTCTACGAAAAATGAGCTAAATGATCATTATTACCTCTCCATTAACTGATTCACTAATTTTTTTTAATCCATAGAGTTTATTTTCGTTAACATTTGATTGAATTTGTCTTGATATACGATTAAAATAGGTATTATCCGATGTATGGAAAAGATTTGTGCCAAATAATCCTTGAATATTGGGAAATAAATCATCCGTTAGAAACTCTTGTGTAATGTCAGATGAAGCATAATGAAATGTCTAAAATATAGAAAAGTCAAAAAATTATGACACGTTGTTTAAGAGCTAAATATATCCAACTATAAGATTTTTATTTGTAAATCGAATATAGAACTGCTATGAATTCATAGCAGTTCTATATTCGATTTACAAATACTTATTTCCAACTGCTCTACCAACAAATTTTATAAGATTTTTGTCTTACACTATTATTATTTAAATTTAATTTAGACCAGTCGGAATAGAAACTTGTCTGTTGTGTATTACTATTATCGGATGATGATGATGTTGTTGTTCTACCATCACCACTACCATTATGTTGATTAAAACAATAAGTATCAATGACAGCATAATTTTCTTTTGGAGAATTATTTTGTGATGATAGAAAGTGACTTCCTACCGATGTTGTACTTGTTATTGGATAAATATATGAGCCCATACTTTGTGTTTTAATTGATGATGGTAATGTAATAATATCACTTGAAACATCATCATAAGTATTAATAGCTTGATTTTCGGTAAGAGCTTCTAATTCTTTTAATGTACTACGTTGAACTTGTTGAGATTTACAATAGGATTTACGATTTAATAAATAAAATCGTAAGAATGTCAACAAAATAAGTAAAATAAAACACACGATTATTCCACAACTAACAAGGGCGATCCATTCAATGCCAAAGAGAGTTGTCGGTTTAGCTGATGATGATTGTTGTAGGGAATTTGTTTGATTATTTGAGATCACTGAAACACAGGCTGAAAGAAGTTAATACAAGACTGAGAAAATAAAAACGTCTCTGATTATTATATTGCAGCTTACCGTCTTTACAGAGAGATGTTAAATTTTTTATGGCCGTTGTTATTGTATTAATACTATTATCAAACGTAATTTCGGTTAAAAACAGCCAGTCATTGTCGTCTGTTAATTGAAATTTTAAATCTATTTTTGATGCTAATGGTACCGTTGTTTTACACATTATTGTATCGATAGTGATTCCTTCTTTTTTCAATGATGATGATGATGATGGAACATGTGTCCATTGAACAAAATCATTCGATTCTTGTAAATCGTTTGATAATTTATACATAGTTATATGAATCGATTGATAGGGTAAAGAAGATGATTGAGAATGAGAATAGATATTTATTGATTTAAAATGACGTGATACATCGAAATAAAATTGTAAAACGATAAATGAACCGATTTGATGACGATTCCACCCGATCCATCCGGATGATAATTGTTTATTAGACACGTTTATCTCACCTATTTGACCATCAACTAATTTACCAATACCACCTAAACAAATTCGATACTTTGTTAATTGTGTATGATTAAACATTTATCTACCCGTTGACAGTATCAGACAGAGTTCATATGAACTAAAATACTTGTATGATACTACCACTCACCAAACCATAATGCATTTGATCGTGTTCCATCATAAGTATCATCTTCTAATTTGACATCAGTAAATCGTGTACCTGGTGGTGCACTGTACGCAACAACACCACCTAAGAAAAAAAAAAGATTTAATTTTTATTTAATTAAAATTGAAAATCTTTTGGTACTGACCATAAAATGGACATCCATAAAGTTCTACACGCATACAAATTGTTCTCCATCTTGTACTGTAGGGCACAAAACGAACTCGTTTAGCTAATATTGGACTTGTCATTAAACGTTTTTCAGCCAAATATGTGTTTATATTTCCATTCAAGACCTGTGACGCGAAACAGAGAAGTTTAGTAGTCGACAATAAATGACACAAGTTTCATCATACTGGAAGACTTTTATTATGGTATATACTTACCGTTTTATTATTTTTTGTTCTATATGTTAACCACTCTTCGTTATCGGTTCGTTGATATTGTACTTGATACCATTCAGTATATTCTTTTCCTTGTCCGTTTCCAAATCGTCCTTGTGTTTCAACCATTGTTATATAATTTAATTGTGATAATGTTATTTGAATATATTCATAAATACCAGGACCAATTTGTTTATCAGGACACCATGCACCACCTTCGAGTTCTGTTCGAATTCTAAATGAAAATTTGATCAAATATTTTTATTCATAATAATGTCATAGAAATAATAAAACAAAAATAACTTGAAGAATTCGATTGTTAGCGTATTAATTATACACCGTTAAAAAGTGATTTCATAATTTATTAGATTTATAAATTGACTAACCTAGCCATATGTGGTCCAACACTTGAAGAATCATGTGATGAACTCGACGTAATATCGCTATCAGGTATAGTACCTGATTCCATTCCTAATGCACTATGACAATGATCTAAAGAAGAAAAGAAAACCAAATATAATTAAAATGATCCTCACTGTAATACTAATCGATTGGCTACCATATTGTGGAAGTATTTGAGTACGCATACGGGCGATGAGTAACACTAATAATATGAGTTGAAAATATTTTATTAACCATATTTTACTCATAATAAATGATATTTATCTTTTCGTCATTAATGATTTGATAGTCTAAAAATAAAAAGATCTAAACTTGAACAATTTTCTGAAATAAATTTCAGTAAAACATATATATATATAAGTAGTCTTGTTACAAATTATTATCGATCAACTCGATTTTCAGAGTTATTTTAACAGATTTTATTCACTCAGTGAATCCATCCTTCAACTCTGACAATCTAACGCATATACCCAGGGATATGTACGTTAATATGAAATATCAACTGTCTTGTTTTTTTTCTAATTATAACCTTATACACTCACACACACATAAACATGCTAATTTTTTTGATATGTTCATTGCCATCTTTTCTCGTTCTTCGTTATCATTATCACGTTCATATAAAAATATGCGTAACAAACAAGTGTATATATATATATATATATAGTGTAGATTGCCTTGAACTAATCACATCTGTTAATTGAAACATCAACTGTTAATCGAGTATTTATTACAAACCAATATATGTGCATGTATATAGAGAGAAAGTGATAAGCTCACTCTTTATAGTTGATTACTGGGTGTACATTATAAATAAACAAACACATATATATATATATTGATACGAAATGTAAATAATACTGTGAGAGTTATATTTCATTAAAAATTAACTATGCCCAAAAGTAAAACATATATATATATACAGATGCTTTGACAATATGCCCTTGACATTTTAACTAGGAACAAAAATCAGTCTGATTTGTTACTTCAATAAAATTTCTTCAAGTCTCATTGAGCAAAATAATCGAAACTATAAATAAAAATCGTTTTACTCTAGTACAGGAAGCATCAGTGCGTTACCGTTAAACATCTTATAATATTCGAATAAAAAAACTTCAAAAAACTGACAAACGTCTTGTCTAGTAAAAAATAAAGTATACTTGTTCAAAATCCACTGTACGGTCGACCTGATTCATTCAATATTTTGTTACGCGCTATATCTGAAATACAAACAGATCCCCCAAAAAATTAATCTCTTTATAGAGATTATAGGTCTTTTAGTATTTCGATCGTGACGAGAAAATAGTTGAGAATGAATTTTGAAGAGTACACTAAGACATCTCTCAATTTTCGTATATTCCAAGATAAACACCCAGAGTAAAAACGGTAGCGTACGGCTATTTCATATGTAAATCGTTGATCTACTTGTGACATCCGAGCTTACGCTATTAGAATGAAAACTTCATATTTAAACATCTTAAAAGGATAAGTGTAACCCTCGCTCTTACTTCTCACATCTGACTCTCTCTATGCCAGACAGTTTAAGTTAATTTTTGATCAGAATAACTCGTACTAACCTTTTCTTTTTTTAGATCTTCTAGTAGTCTGGATAGCCGAAACGACATCAAAATTCTAATTGACATCGATAGAAAAGAGACATTTTGATAATTGACAACGACTACGACATATTTATTATTATATATACGTGTTATTGTCGAAATACATTATTTGTTGGTCAAATCAATGAAAAAAAAAAGAAAAAATGACCCGACGACATGTCTCAATCAAAAATATTCTGTCATACAAATTTCATATTAACACATTTACTATAAAGATTGTTCAATATACGTATAGAAAGAGAAAATGAAAAGAAAATACATAATATATAAAGTACAAAAAAGCAAATAGGAATCATGTCAGCCTTGTTCATCAACGATAAGAGAAGACTTTAAAAAATAAAAGTGAACCTTCATAATTTAAATGTTTTATTTCGACTTATACTTTAATAGAAAAACGGATTTTATTATTAAAATATCATGCTGAGCACGGAGAAAAAGAGCAATGTGAACAAGTACGTCTATTAATCGTTGTTATTTAATTGACGTTCAAATATTCTCTCGATTAAACAGCATGATCATAATTTATAATAGGAATTTATGTTTCTCTTTTGACACGATCAGAATGTTAATCATTCGTATTATCATTTATATTAAACAAAAAAGTTAAATTTACTATCATAAAAATAAAAATGAAATTTCTTACTAAAATATACTTCTTTTAACTGATATGAAAATATTGCCTAGCTTACATCGACAATAATTTTTTCGTTAATATCTTCTTATCAGTTGTCAAACGGCGTTTTTCTCACTCTATTGACCACATCTTTTGTACTAAATATCGTATGGTATCCCGTACAGTTTGTGATGATTGACAGTACTCAGAATAATAATAATAATAACATGAAAAGAGGAAAAGAGATGTAATTGTGTGTGACTTTTATTGTTGTTGCGCAACAATTTTGTTCAAATAAATCTTGATGAGTGTATAAACAAATGATATTTGTCTGATATCGAAAGAGAGACGACGCTGCAGGATATAGCTATATATATATATACAAAGCACTATGTATTTATATGCGATATAACCTCTATTGAACAGATCAATCGATCGCATCCTTTTTAGCACAATCAACATACTTCATCTTTTGATAAACAAATATTTATTTTTAGATGTACTGGAATTGTCAGCTCTTGATAAATAGAACTAACCTAAAAAGTCATTTTATGTGACCATTTTACAGTAAAAAAAATATCTTTTAATTTTGATACCGTCATATTATTAACATTCATACAAGTTCAAATATCTTTTATTATTCTTATTCATTTTCTAATCTCGATTTAAAATTTATAATTTCTATTCTTTTTCTTCAAACTTTTTTGTTTTTCTACTTCTTTGTTTTTCTACTTCTGAAAATTGCTTTGAAAGATAATCATGTAGATGTATTATTGTTATTATTATTATTATTATTATTATTATTATTATGAAATGATATAAAAGTAAAATTTCTCTCTTGTTTTTCTCTTTAACTATTATCGAACAATTATCGATATTTAATATTACGAGTGCTATTGTTATTATTTCTTTTGTTATTGTTGTTGTTATTATTTCTTTTGTTATTGTTGTTGTTATTATTGAATTTCTACTAGTGTTGTGGTTTACGTAATGAAAAGGAAACCTTAATATGATACTTATCACTTTAGTTATTCTCTAAAAACATATCAAAATTTCATACCATAACAAAAATAACTTTTGTATATTGAAATTTTAGTTTTACATAGATCTCAGATGATTCAAGATATATTTGAACATAGCCTAGATGACTATTACTTGTTAGAAATAGTTGGTTGGATTCTCATTCAATGTTAAAAGATTATAACTGCAAGAAAGCTTAAAATTTATTGCCTTTTTTTGCAATTTTTTTCAATAGAAAAAAAAAATAATTCTTTTCTAAAAACGAATTTGTTAAATCTCATACATTGACGTTAAACAATATCATATATAGCAAAATTTTGATCCTGAAGTATATAGTATCCTGTATATAATTACAAAACTCCCTCTCTGTATATTATATATGTACATACCTTTTGTGAAAAACTAATTATATGTTTATCTCTTAAATAATAAACGCTATTTCGTGATAAATTACTTTATCAATGTTTTTTTTTAAGCTCCTTCACAGAAAAATTCATTTTCTTCTTTTTTTTTCTTCTTTTCCTCACACGTATAAATATAGTACGTCAAAATCATCCCTTTGTATATCTCAAGTGTTAAGGATATGTACAACAATATAACATAAGAAAATTATAAAATGTTCGTCAACATTTCATACACATACACTATATACTCGTATATCTCTTCTTTTTTTTTTTCTCTTTTTTTATTACGTAAAAAGCATTTTGTGAATGATATAAAAACTCAAATTTCAAACTCAGTAGTTATGTATAGTAATATCATACAGATATTGTCACCTTTTATCATAATCTAAATAGATTTTGACAGCCAGACACACAAAGATTTTTTTTCTTCTTTTCTTGAACACATTGACACATAATATGCGTAGTATACTATGAGCAATCTAATATGATTAGAAAAAATATTCGTTTACTGGTATATATATATATATATATATATATTAGTTATGGAAAAGATTCAATTGATAGATGTTATTGATATAATCCGTCATATCCTTGTATATGTCGAAAAACTGAACAAAAGATATTTCAGAGAAGGACAAAACAATCAATAATCACAATCTATTACAATAGGTCACTGGAATAGAATGAATGACAGTTATCCTAAATGTAGCGACAACAATTAATATTGAACATAGTAAAGAAATCCATTCAGAAAAATCAGATGAGTATTAGTCAATGAATGCATGCATCATTTCTTAATTGTATTGGTCAATCTAAAAAATAGTTTTGATCATTGTTACTGTTTAGTGTTACAGTCAATTATCCAACAAAGACGATGTATAATCCATATAGATATTGGTCAAATTTTATTCTATTCTTGTTTGACTATTCTGTATTATATGATTGAACTACATCAATATACCTCTGAATCATCATTATTATGCATGTACAATAATTGAATTTTGAAATGGAAGATTGATTATACGACAGAGATAGAACAAGATGAAAATAAAAGATTCCATAAAATAGTTGAATCATCTCTCTGTTTTTCTCTCTCTCTCTTTGCATTAGTGGCTTTTAGAAGACAACTGTCTATGATTTAATAGAAAGACAATATACACGTATTTAATATTATGTAATAAACCTTCATCAATTAACCTAGCCTAAGTAATACTCATTTCACGTTTAAACATCCAATGTTTTCACTTCAACCGAGTGTGACATGCAAACAATAATCAACTTTAATAATGAGAATACTTTTTAATATTTTGTCTTAACAGGATGTTTCATATCAAATAGAGCAACACAAAAGGAACAAGAAAAACATAAAAAACTTCAGATGTGTCAGTTATCAGGCAATTTAAAGTATATATTTTATTTTTTGTCTATTTTTAAACTGGTCTGGTTTCATCTAATGGTTTTTAATCGTTGTCTTATAGACATATGTTTAGTTGTCTGTTTTAACAGAGCATGCACACATTATCTAGGTC